GGACCCAAATGTGGGCACACATTTCAGTCTCTCACTCTCGTAATTGATAACCCATTTTAGTTTTATACTAAATAATTTATAGCAGTTACTGAATAATTAATAGTAGATACTGAACAATAAGTCTAAAGATGAATAAATCAATAATAAGCCTAGGGATCAAGGAGTTTAGCTATGGTGAAGTGAAACAAAAGTAAGAAACACAAAAATCAATACATAAGCGTGGCAAAATCGATCTGTCGTCTGACAGTAAACAACTTTAGATACCGCTCCGCTCACAGGCCTTGAAGTGATGCTTTACCGAAGGCTGCTTTCGTTCCCCCTGAAGCTACCTTTCACCCACAAGCCTCATCATGACTCTTCATATATCTATCTCTCTCATTCCCATTTCTCTATCCTGTCTCTCTCTCTTTCTTGAACTAACCACACAGGGGGGGAGTGGACGCAGTCGGACACCAAAGGTGCGCCTGACTTACCATGTCCCTGCTAGCCTTTGATGCGCCTTTCATAGCGGGCGGAAAGGGGGGCTGCAGAGGCGGAGGGGGGACGGAGGTGGGGCGGGTCAGTCCAGCGCCTCTCTGTCATGTCGTGTCGCGTGGCAAGCAGTGGACACTGCAATAGTCCACCCCGCGCTTAGGCTTTTCTCCCCCTTTTCCCTGCAACCCCACCAGCAACCCCATCCCCCACCCCCCGGCCTTTGTGTCATTCACTTAACGGCCAATCTCATTAGCCAGGCCCTGCACAATGGGTGGAATTATTTTCTGTGTAAATATACCACATGGTGACCCCCAAGGTATGACCTCTGAAGGTCTTTTTAATTGCATAAGAGACAAAATGAAAAAAAGGGAGTTTAAAAAAAGTGAACATACTGATGCAAAAGGGTGTAAATAAAATATGTTTCTTAACTGACTGGTTACTATTGTAACTGAAATAACTGTAATGAAATTTAAACTATCTAAAGAAATTTCAAAATAATAAAACCTTTTCAAGAATAAAATGTCAACTGAAGTCTTTCATCATAAATATAAAAAAAAGTGTCTTAGAGACATTTAAATATTGTGTCATAAGCGCTTGCACTGTAACGGATTATTACTGGAAAAATATGGACCAAAATGTAAAAGCGTGCTAATGTCCTAACAAACCAACCAAACAACCAAACAACCAACCAACCAAATAAATAGATATATAAATAAATCAACAAAATACCAATAAATCCCAATCTATCTTTAAATTCCAAATTTTATCAAGTGTTATTTATCAAGTGTTCTGTAAATGCAAAACCTGTAAAAACTTTCCATGGCTTTTAAAAGTCCTTTAAAAGACGAGAATCTGTGGGTGGGAAAGGCCGATATTATCAGGAATATTAGGCCTAAATCACAAATCCAGATTACAAGAAATCGGTGGACATTTTCTGATAAGGTTACACACTCTGATTTCTTCTCTTTGCTCCCTGATGCTAGTTTTTGGTCTTGCGCTTCTTCACTAAATGAATTACCATGAGTTCTCATAGCAATGACAGCTGTCTGTAAGCATCAGGGACATGTCCATTGGCCAACTTGACCCTTGTTAGGAAAAACAAAACACGTGCGCGCACACGCACACGCAAACACAAAAGGATCCTGAAGCCGGGGACTTGCCTAGCGAGGTCACTGGAGATTTTCCAGACAACCACAATCCGGAGGAGGGGGTGGACGGGTTTTGGGGGGGGGGTATGGAGAGGAGAGGGGGGAGACAGAAGAATAAAAAGGACAGGCTCAGAATCTCATTTTACCAGACCGCACACAATCTGGGCTCCCACAGAACTATCTCTGCCTGACCGCTTTCTATTTATCCCTTATCAGTGTTTACCAACCGCTACTTTTCTTTCATTCCCACTGTGAGGCCGTTCTCTTACTATCAGTCAACAGCTGACACCATGGAACTGCCTCAAAGCCAAGAGGAAGGGATCAAAACTGAACCAAAGCTGTTTAAACAATACAACAGAGGAAATAAATTCATAAATCCTAATTCTTCCCAACCCACAAGGGTGCAGGCAGATCCTTTATAGTTAGGCCAACAAACAAAACCACAGCCAATGAGGTAACATTTACAATCAAGGTAAAAGGCTCAAATATATTCGGGTGGGGGGCGGGGGGTGGCGGAAGGGAAAAAAGTCCATGTAATTTTAATTACAAAACGTGGCTTCCTGCCTTCTCATGTCATGGAAAATAAAACTTATATCTTTTTTATTTATTTAACCCAAAGGGGCTGCCTGTTTGTGTTTGGATGGTGTCTGAATTGGTGTTCAGACACGATTTAGTCACACGATTCACTTCATGAGGTTGGACTTTGATGCACCTTCACACCAATGCAGTTTTTGATTTAACTGCCTCTGCTGCCCCCCCATCCCCCCCAAAAGAAAAAATCTTTTAGTGATATAGGAGCCTGTAACATGAACATATTAGACAGCGAGTGGCATGAAGTATCCTGCTCATTCTTGGTAGAAGCCATTTCAAAGCAAATCTAAATCCTACAGACATCGCATTACAGCTTTTAAAGCTGTTTGTGAGGTACGTCTTGAATCATAACAACAAAACATCTGTTTTTTTTACTTTTAACCTACCTACAGTATACAGTCTATACTTCAAATTCAAATGGTCCTCAAAACAAGCTAAAAATATGAAATATGAAGTGTTCGTGTAATTCTCTTTAAAAAACACGGCAGCCTTTCTGCCGTGGTCCGATTTCAATTCCATTTCTCAATCGCAGTCTCCCAGCCCTGTTTTTCTGGACTACTGTTCAAAAGTTAAGTAATTAATTACATTTATCCTTTCACCAGCTGCTCCGTGGCAGATGGAACATTTCTGAAACCTTGTTGAATTAAATCCACATAATTCATTTTCCTGGATTAACTAAGTGAAGTTTGTGCATGAGTGAGGGGAAAAAAACAGGTAACAAGATAGGCTACATGGATACACAATTAAGCAGCAAATGTTTTTGTGTCTTCGCTCCTGATACGTTCTGGAACATTGTTAATGAGTGCAGCAGAGTCCATGCGCTTGTTAAAAGAGAACTTAGCTGGATAATGTTATGTATGACATTTGTGACATGGATTCATCAGAAAATGGAGGAGAAAATCTGAAAAAAAGAAAAAGAATCTCTTGTTGACCGCCTTATCGTATGGTTTCTGCCAAGCACATTGGGTCAACAGGTCATGAAAGAATAAAAAAAATGACATTGTCTATTCTTAAATTGAAACAGGCTCGTCAGCTAGGCCAAAGTCACAAACAGGTGAAGGTCTTCGCCTGTCTGCTACTGTTTCAGATTTGTTCACACTCAGCTAAACTCTTTTCAGATAGCACCATGGACAGTTCCTATGGCCTCACTCCAGACAAGCAGCAAGAGGCCGCTCAAATTAGCATAAAAATGTTCAGTTAGTTCACAGTTTAAGTGGCAGGAATAAGGAGTTGAAGCTTTGCAAGGTTACTAGACCTAAAACTAGACCTAAGATAAACTCATACTTAAAGCCTTTTAACAAGTCTGTACCACGCAAGGCCCATGAAGCCTGTGCTAGTAAAATGAATGCACTGTATCTCCTAAGCGTGTGCTGCTCCACAGAGACAAGCAGTTACAGTTCCGCATTTTACTGCATATTAATAATACATTATGCAAATACGTATTGCATAATAACTAAATACAAATGTTAGCAATACGCAGAATGCAGATTAAAACATTAACCGGTCAATGAACTGGGGCAGGCTTGTTTATTTTCTTGTTTATGTATTTATTTACATATTTATTTATTTATTGAGACAGCTTATTTATGGTCAGGCCTTAGCTATTTTACTATTAACAAGCAGCACATATAACAATATTATTTTGGGGAGACTTATTAAATACAAAAGTGGGTCAGTTTAAGTGAAGAAAAATCTACTGCCTTAACAACAAAGTTAACAAAATCTAAATGTCAATTACAGCATTGTACCTTTATAAAACTACATAAAGTACTGTGGAAAATCACAACAGCAATAACAGAATGAATTGTTTTAGTGTCACTTACACAGATCTCAGAATACTATGTAATCTAGCACCTGCCGTTCAGAGACATCTTAGCAAATGAACATTCTCCATTATGGTTGGAAAGTCTGGAGTATGAAGTAGTTCAGTGTCTCTGAACGAGTTTGAAAACAGTCACAATTGTGTTCCTCATAACCAAAAAAGCAATACAGAATAAAATAAAAAAAGTAATGTAGTTTGCTATAGAAATGGTCATCAAGCTGCATTCAGAAGTAAAATCAAAAATGAGAATGGCAAAAACAGTGCAATCAAAGTGCCTCCATTGGAAGTGGAAGGGTTGAAAGTGTAATAAGAGTCTAAGGGCTACGGCTGTGTGTGTACAGCTGTCTCGCTGAAAAGCCCCCCTGAGCAACCTGTCCAAGCTTTGTGCTAACACACAATGCTAACATGTGTCAGGCTAAGACAAGCTTAGACCCCCGCCACTAAAGCTGTGAGTTTAATTCAGGAAGACGACATCTAATGTTATCTGGACGATCAAAAATAGGTCACTCTTCTTGAAAAAAAAAAAAAGCTATTTAATCTCTTCATGGGCTGAAACCTGGAGAGAGGATGGCTGCAAAAAACCCCTAAAAACTGCAACACTATCCTACTCTCCCATGACAAAACAGCTAGTCAGTCAATCTGAACCAAAATAAAAAAAAGTTAAACACTATGCTGACACAAGTCCAGGCAAAACGTAATGGATGGAAAGGTGCACAACTTTTTTTGTTGTCTAGTACACTTTCTAATTTACATTATCTTGTGTTCAGACACTTTTCAAGGTTTGGAAAAGTAGGAAAGCACAACACAGACTGGCAACTTTTTACAGCAGCTATGCTACGAATTTATGTAAACTTTACAGGTTAGTAAAATAAATGTGCTCTTCTCTGTCTGTCCAGACTGCATGGATGGCAGAAAGTGACCGTACTATTGTGTTTAGAATATGAAAAGAGCCGGAAAACACACACCTACTTTGAGCGGCTGTTGGAAGTTGGAGTGGGCTGGTGGTCCCCTGGCCGGCGTGATGCTGCTGTAGCGATGCTTGCGGAGGCTGTAGCTTTTTGAAAGGTAAAGTCCCCAGGAATATGACACAGTGTGTGTGTGACAGCCCGGCGATAAGCACCTGCGCTCCACTCCGGCTTCCACGTCACACCCTCCCTATTCACCAGCCTTCAATATGATGCACATTTGCACATCAACAGCAGCAGCAGCCCTCCACCACTCCCGCCACACACACACACACGTACGCACACACACATACACACACACACTCTCTCCTCACACCACTCCCACATCCGCAAAACATACAAACCGGCCCACGGAGGGGAGGAACAGACGCCCGTTTTTTTTCCTCTCTCTCTCTAACTCTCTCTCTGTGTCCCTCACTCTATCTCCACATTTACACTGATTTATTTTGCTTGTTTCCTGTGTGTGTGCGTGCACGCAAAAAACTTTCACTCACATTGTTGTCATGGTGTTTAGGCATATGCCCTTCCAATATCCCCCCTTACCCCCACTCCCCACCCCCCCAATATTCACCCCGCCTCTCCATATCAGTCACGATGCAAATGAGACGGAATGTCACTCCTCGGCAGCAGATGGCCAGGGATGATAACAATGGCTCAACAGACCAGTTTCAATGTCTGCCACTTTATTGCCACGGAAACAACAAGCGCGAGCAGACGTAATGAAAGCTATGCCACGTAGCTGCCTTCTCTTTAAATCCTACCGCTCCATAATGTTTGTCTTTTAATTGTGCTGCTTGTCTTATCATACTTTTAGCGTATTATAAGATTATTGCTTTGCTTTTTTATTAATTTGCGATGTATTTAATTGTGGTTAGAAAACAGAGCTTAGTTATGGAGAGGACTGAGAGATGAGGCCGTGATGTCGCTGGGTGACTAAGAAAGACTGCTGCCCCAGTAATTATTAGAGTAATTAGGTGTAATTCCTCCCTGTAGACTTCCACACAGCCTCTGCTACATCACAGGCCATGCAGACGGGCCCATATATGGAAGTGTGTGTGTGTGTGTGTGTGTGTGTGTGTGTGTGTGTGAGTGACAGGGGGTTGCAGGGCATCACGCATGGAGTGTGTGACAAAGGCCCTGATCGTACTGACGTCACCACGGCCCTGAAGCCTGCTGATTTTTATAAATACACATAAACACACAGAGGTTTGCTTTCATGCAATGCCAGAACATGAGGGCAGACATATGTCCCATATGTATTTTATATATATATGTCAGTACCTGTTTGTAATAATAACATGCATTATATACCACTGTCAGAACAAAACTTTGTATCTCCATTTTTGTCATTTTTATTTATCTATTTTTTTTACATAAAATAAAAATGCTACCAGCTGTTTATATTGTGTCAAAATGTCATAATCAATCGACCAACAGAAATAGTCCAAAATGACAAAAAGATCTTGTTACATTAACTTACACAGAAAGTTAAGAACATTTTTTTCATTTTCCTGTTACCTTTTTAGGGATACGAAGTTTTGTTCCGACAGCGACGATATGTAAGTACTTAAATTCAATACTGTTCTATATGTATTTTATATATATTTAACTGCCTATATGTAATAATATGTCCAGTGTGCACGTAATATGTATATGTCACACACATACTGTTGCTGTCAGAAACAAAACTTTCTATCTCCAGCATGTTAACTTATTTGGAGAATAGACTTTTACTATAAATAAGTTTAAGAAATTTTAACGTAACTTTGGATCACTTCTAGTGGCCAATTCAACATGATTTTTGTTCGCACAAATATGCAAAAAAAAGGATATAATGTAATAATATGTTCGATATGTACTGTATAAATGTGCATATACCTATGTGTAATAAGAATTTTCAGTAACACTTTACTGAAGGGCAGCATTCGTAGGGCTATATCACACCTATAAAAGCCTTTCATGACATAAACCTACATAAACTTTTTCTGTCTTATTCCGTTATTCTGACAAGCCTCAGTTGTCATAAAGACTGGTTTTTGTTGCCCTTTTTTCTGTCATTTCACCCCAGCCAGTGTTAAGGACTATTTTGTTGCTAATGATACTATAGGTTAGCCCTGTTTTTCTCTGGTGTTGGTACAAAGTCAGGACATTTTTGGTTTGAAAAATGTATGAAAATAAGCTCACACACAAAAAAAATGTGTGCGTGGCCTTTAACAAGAGCAAACAGTGTGTGAGCGTTTAACAAACAGAGGCCAGATTAGAATGACAAAGAGTGCCACACTTCTGGGAGGAGTCGAGCAACGAGTGGAGGGAGGGCCAGGGGCCTGTATGTGTGTGTGTGTGTGTGTGTGTGTGTGTGTGGGTGTGTGTTAGAGGGGGAGGGGGTGCTGCTGGCCAAGTCCTCAAAATGAGTCAAAATGCATGAGGGGTGTCTAGCTGTAAGACACTCCCAGCTGATGTATGTGTGCATGTGTGTGTGTGTGTGTGGGGGGGGGTATCACCTCCTTTCTCCATGCAAAAAAAAGCTCCTATCTGGTTGCCGTTTTGTTCTTGTCTCCTGAGAATAAGATATAAGCATAACGCTGAGTAGTTTCTCGTCAAAGCCTCGCTTGGCTTTTCAGCAACAGAAGGCCAAGCCGCTGCTTAAGGTTTTGGCTGTTGATCTCATCTGAGATTTCATTTAAAAGTCTAATTTCACAACAGATTTCTGGAGGTTTGTCACTTATAAAGTACATATATGAGAGGCGACAGATTTGTTGGCTTCTGAACATTCTTACAAAATAAAACTAAGTGCTTGTTTTTTTTATTCTTATTTATTTAATCCCAACTACATGAGTGGGGCGCTATCATTTTATCAAACGGAAAATGTCCTCTTTGCACTGCCCCCACATGCATAATTTTACTTTACACGTGTTAAGCCAAGATGCTGCTGACTTTGTGCAACAAACTACTGTAAGACAACCGCTAACAGAAGACAAGAAATAAATAAAACCCTTCAAAAAGGGATCAACTTCCAAACAACAATCATGATCAAATTTAAAATCGCATTAGATGTACAACAACAGCAATCTTTCATATTATCTTCAAGCCATATGCTCTCTGCCATCCCTGGAACGCAGTCCATTACGACAGGACGAGCCGCAACTGTTTCTGGATGTTTGATTTGGGGTTTTATAAAGGGAAAAAATCCAACAATAGCGAATATTAGAGGTACAATGAAAGCAAAAGTGGGCGAGATGAAATGACATGTCAAACAAAGGTCCACATTTTCCAAAGAATATGGCGTGTTTGCAGAAAAAAATGTTTGATTGCATTTATAAAAGTATCACAGCAGGTCACACGTAATGTCTAAAAGCTTTTTGCATTAGTCTGCCAATTATGTAAGCAAAGTTAAATGTCCCTGCACCCCATTGTTTATGTGCCTTTGTCAAACCTACACATATCATATCAAATGACTCCGGCTACATACTTTAGATATAAGTGCTTGCACAGTGTTTTCCACAGCAGATCAAAGACTGTTTCCAGCCATTTTGAATGCTCAACTCCAGCTAATCCAACATGTGCTAAGACCATTCTCCAATCTGTGAGGACAATGTGAAACACTATATTTATGTTTTCACCCAACTCAACTCCTCACCACTTGCATGGACTGTATCTTTTCAAACCACATGTACCAAAGTAAAATAAACAGTGTGATGTTTAAAAGAGTGGAGCCAAAATTGCCACCGCAGAGGCTCCATGGTTGCGGCTTTGCCACAACAAGCCTTGGTTAGCTCCAGTGCAGCAAATTGCCTTAACAAGCCACGTAATAAGTAGAATGGTCTCCATCTGTGTCCACTAATAGCGTTTCGAATGGTTTAAACGCACCTGTGACAGAAGATAACACCTGTCTGAGCAGGGTCTTTCCTTTAGGGAGTGAGCGCATGCTAAACAATGAAAATACAGGAGATATAAGAAATAACTGCCATGATTTGCCTGTAAGAGGACACTGTTTGCCATGTTCTTTCTCCCCTTATCACATCAGGGCTGGGAATCAATGAATTTAATATAATGCCTTTCAGGATAAAGTGGGCCCCTTGAACATTTTGTCTAAATAATACTTGCGTACAGATCTATAGTACTTACATTGATGACGTATTTGCTCATCATTTTTTAGTGACCACTGACATCAATTCAATTCAGTTTTTCACAACATTGTCACGAATCAGCTTTTCCAGAAACGTGGGTTCAGACCGCTGAAGAGCATTAAGGGTGACAATGGCAGGAAAAATGCCCTAAGAGCATGAGGAAGAAAAATACCAAGAGGCACCAAGACTCAAAAGGAAAACTCATCCTCCTCTGGTCAACACTGGGTCATCAATGTCAGTCCACTACGCAACTTATCTCGAATGTGCCAACTGGCAAAACATTGCAATTTTTTTTTACTCCCTTAAAATCATAGACTTTTCACCTCCTAAGGCTACCTATTTAGTAAATATGTGGGAAATTTACAAACTGGGTAGGTTATTATTTGAGTGAGGAATGAAAGCCTGGACTCAAGGTTTCAAAAGTCACCTTTAATTCTGTTTTCATTTGGAATGCTACAATGTAATACATGTGTAGGATTCACAAAATTGCATAATTTTGGTGTCACATTTTTCAACACCCGTCCCTGAAACCATGCTAAGGAAACCCCTCAAAGCACTGCAATGAATCAGAGAAACCAGTCATTCTTTCTGCTTTTACTACTAACGTGACCCATTTCAGACTGAGGTATATCAGATACACACAATAATGTTTGGCTATGAAACTGAACCAACCTCAAACAAATGACTTAATATTAAACAATAAAAGAATCACTCAATTTACATATGCAGCATCCCTTTGTGGAGAAAAAAAGATATTCACAATGCAAATCCAGATGCATGGAAATAAGATACTTCTTACATATTCAAGCATAAACATCAGGCCTTCAATGCTACAGAAAATAGAGATGTCTTGCCAACATAAGGCTGACATGTTTGGGATGTACAATGTGTACACAAGCCCAGTGCCTTTTTAGGTAATCAAGATATTTAATCAGTTTATGCAACATAAAAATGCAAGTTTTTACACTGAGGAAATCACCAGATTATTGCCAGACATGACTGCCTTCAGTGATCAAGCAGTAAAGTCATTGGCAAATAGAATCTAGTAAAAATCTAGCAACAAAAAAAACAAAAAAAAACCAATTAAATTTAGCACAGCTTACTGAGATTCAACATCCTAAGGTTA